GGGGGGGGGCGCGCACGCCTAGTGCAGGCATTTTCGGTGGCGGCTTGTCCCAACAGCACCCCCCCACCCCATCTCCAAGTCACCAGCTCCCTCGCACCACCACCCCCCGCCGCCCCGGCACACCAGAGCACCCTCTCCTGTCACGCGCGTGTCGCCGGTGGGGCTCCCAGGCTCAGCCAGAGCCCGGGACGCCGCCTCGCGTTCCCTTCCCCCAGCATCGCCGAGCGCGCACCGGGGCCGCGCGCTGCAGGGGGACCCAGGCGTCCCCAGACAGTCTTTCCACCCCCATCCTGCAGTGGTTTTCTCCCGGGGGGCTCCGCCGGTAGCAAAACCAGAAAGGTGCTATCTCCGCCGGCATGTCCACGTGCCCCGCAGCCCCCTAAGCCCTTAGCCGGCAACTGGCAGGAAACTCTGCGCTGCGGGCGCCGACGGGGAGCCGCGGGGGGCCAGCAGCAGCACGCGGGGCACGGGAGACCGGAGGACCAGGGCACTCCGGGGACGGGGGCAGGCGCCTGAGCCGGGGCCACAAGTCCACGTGAAAGTACGGCAGCAAGTGCCGGGAGTCTGAGGGCGCGCCTCCGGCACCCAGGACCAGCCTGAGGGTCCCCCACACCTTGGCGCGGCTCCACCTCCCCAAGGAAACGCGGTACCCCCCACCTCTGCCGGCGGGGGGAGCGGACTCCAAGCGACCGAAGCTAGACCCTCCCCGGCGGCCGTAGCGCCCCCCACGCTCCGGCTTGCGCGGGGGGGAGCGTTCGGCTCCCTGCCTTCGTAACAGAGAGCATCGCAGGGCGCATGGAAGGGGGGCTCTGCAGCCGGGAACCCCAGTTCCCCCCAATGCGCCCACCGCTGCCCCCCGGCCTCCGTGGCTGCGGCCGCAGCCCCCGCAGCTCAGCAACCTTGGCCCCGGGCCCGCGGCCCCTGCTGGCCGTACCTGCGTGTCGGCGAGATAGTTGAGGAAGAAGGAGGAGAGCTCTTCGTCCAGCAGCGCGCCGCAGTCGTTCCCCGCCATCTTCCAGCCGCGGCTGCAGCGTGCGGCGGAGTCAGCGCCGAGCCGGCCGGGGGGAGGGAGCGAGCGAGCAAGCGAGGGAGGCGGGAGGAGGGAGCGAGGCCGGCGGGAGGCGGAGGGCGGAGCTCAGGCCCGGGCTGCCGCAGGGCCGCCGGCTGCGGGGGCGGGGCCGCGCGGTGCCAGCGCCAGCCGGGGGTCGCGCCCCCACTTTCCTGCGCCACGTCTGGCTCCGCGGTCCTCGCCCGCAGCCCCTGGCCGGGAGGAAAGCGCCCGCAGCCGGGTGACGATGCCCCAGCCAGCAGCCCGATGCCTGCGCAGCAATGCGGGCAGCCCCCTGCTCCTGCCAGAGCGAATCACGTTGCGTTAGCGCTGGGCGGGTCCTTTGAGACAACCTGCTTCTGCACAGCTGGGGAAACTGAGGCCCGAGAAGGCAGAGGACTTCGTGTGAAGTCACGGTGCATGTCAATAGCAGGAACACACAGTGCATTTCAATAGCAGGAAGACAAAGCTCAGGTCTGACTGCCCCAGAGTTTCGAGTTTCTCTACCTGAGCTGCAAGGCCACAGAGGGAGGAATACCATAGGTCAAAGGTGGAGAAATCAGGGAAGGCTCAAAGAGGGGGTGGCATTTTTCTCTTTTCCGTGAAGGACGCATTGGCCCATATTCTGTTAAGTTTGACCGTCTCCCTCAAGTTTTCCTTCACTCCCCTACCCCCCCCCCCAGTAAACTTCAATGACTTCCCTTACCATGGCTCACAATGCCTTGAGGTGGCCAGGCCCGTGCAGGCTTCCTCAGGCCCCCTGGCCTCCCAGTTCCTTCGATGAACCATCTCACAAGGGGCTTCCACACACACAGTGCTGTCTCCCGCCCTGTGGCCATTCACCTAGTAACGTCATCTTCAGCGCATCCTTCCCCACTGCCACTCTGACTGTCAACCCATTCCTTCTCCCCCCACCCCCACTGTCATGGGTTCCCTTAGCTCTACAAGCCTTTTCCTTAGAACACTGGTCACAGCTGCCATTTTACATTTTTCCTAGTGAAGATTTGCTCTTCATGTCTCTCCTTACTAGACTCTAAGACCCATGAAAGCAAGGACTGAATCTGCTTTTGCATTTACTGTGTCTCCAGTGCCTGGCACATAGTAGGTGCCTAATAAATAATGTGCTAACCATAAACCCCGGAGGATTTGGATTCCCCCCCACCCACCACCACCACCACACGTTGAACAGATAAAAAAAACCGCCCAGAGTCATTGGTGCCAGAACCAGAACTCAGGCTTCCTGAATGCAACCTTGAACTCTCGCCATCATGCCCTGCTGTTTGTTTGCCAGGCAGTAGATGAGGGCACCGCCTGAATAAAGGCATAAACGCGGGAAGATTTAGGCCCGTTTCATTGGGCACGCCTGCCTCCTGCTCTCTACCCTCCCCTCCCCTGGACTGGGGAGGGCTGCCCCACCCGGCCCACCCTGCATGGGCTCCCTCCCCAGATGAGGAAGCAGGGAGAGCCCTCTGTCCACCTGCTCAGACTTGAACTCCTGAGCAAGAGCTTCCGTCTTCTCCAGTCTGAGGTTCCCAGAACCGCAGGGCGTGATTTCACTCTTTGGGCTTTAGGCCAGCGCGCTTTTAAGGAACAATGAATCCCAACAGACAGCCTACATCTAGCCTTGGAGCACTAGCCTGGGAGTCAGGAGTCCTGGGTCCTGCCTGGTCCAGCCCTGCTACATCTTGTCTCCCCATTGGGCAACTCAAGAAGTCAAGAGCATGGGCCCCCTGGTCAGACTGCCCAGTTTTGAACCCTTGCAAGTCATCTAGTTTCAGGCCTCAATTTCCTCATCTGCATCGGTGGGGATCATAGAATTACCTACTTCATAGGGATGTCAGGATGATTGAAGAGGTAATATATGCAAAGTGCTTGGCACAGTGCCTGACCTCCTGGGAAAAATAACTAAACTCTGGTCCTCTGTTTCCTCATCTGTAAAAATGAGAATAACATGCATGTCCCTTGAAGGCCAGTGTTACTTTCCTTTCTTCCAGGGGCTGCTGGCTGCCTTGGACTCTAGTAGATCTGGATTTGAATCTTGGTGCTCACTAGCAATGTGCCCTTGGTCATTTACTTAACCTCTCCAGGCCACAGTTTCCTCCCCGTAGGGTTCTTGTGAGGGTGGCAAAAATCTGTGCACATAAAACAAATGGCTGGGCCCTGCACCTGGCCAATAGGAGGGTTCCTCCCCCCTCAGCATCATCACCATCACCAAGGTCATCATCATTAGCATGAAGGGCTTTGCTGCTGCTGCCCATGGACCCCTGTCAGAGCCCTGCGGGACAGTTTCCCGAGATGTCCCTGCCAGATCCAGCATGGCCAGGGACTGGTGTTGAGCCCCTTGTAGCTGAGAGGCCAGACCAGGAGAGTCCCCAACGCCAGCCATCTCAGGCCTTGGCCTTGCAGAGCTGCAGCACCAGACGGGGCCTCCCAGGGAAGGCCTCAACAGCGCTTGCCCAGAGCAGCTTTTGCCTTTAAAACTCTGGTGTTGAGGGACGCCTGGGTGGCTCAATTAAGCGTCTGTCTTTAGCTCAGGTCATGATCCAGTGTTCTGGGATCAAGCCCTGCGTCAGGCTCCCTGCTCAGTGGGGAGCCTGCTTCTCCCTCTCCCACTCCCTCTGCTTGTGTTCCCTCTCTGTGCCTCTGTGTCTCTGTCAAATAAATAAAAAAAAAAATTAAAAATCTTAAAAAAGAAAATAGAAGCCCTCCAGAAACCCAAGGTGCTAGGTGTGATCTTGTGCAGTTCGCTTGCCCTCTGTCAGGCTGTTTCCTTTAAACAAAAGAAGCTGTTTTAAAGGCTGTGTCCCTTTAAAACAAAAGAGCTGAGCTAAATGAACCTCTCCTGAACCCGCCAGCCCAAATATGATGCAGTTTATAGGTATCAGCCCAAACCGAGCTTTTCCACACTGCCCAGGTGCCAGATACCTGAGTGTGTATCGCCTCAGATTGTTTCCAACAGCCCTGAGGAGTTCGCATTCTCATGTCCAGTTTCCAATGGAGGAAACTAAAGCTTACAGGGGATTGAAGTGATCGGCCCAAGACCACACAGTTAGGGACACAGCTGAGATTTGAACCCAAGCTTGTATCTGGTCCAAGCCACAGACCCTTGAAAGGAATTGAGAAAAACCCCACACCAGCTAACCCCTCCCAGGAAGCTGGAACGGTGGTACATTTCTTATTTTATGACTTCCAAGTGAAGGGCAATAATAATGCCAAACTTGGACTTCATGTGGCTCACTCCTATCTGCTCTGCCTTTTTATTGGCCCTGCCTTTCCCGAGATTAGTGAAAGTTTGCCTTGCACATACACGAGGCAAAGCCCAGACTCCTCCAGGCTCCACGGAAACAGCTCCAGCAAAATGAACATTTTTCACTTGAATACTATAGTCACTAGTGACAAATGCTCAAAATTAAAAACATCAGCCTTTTCTCTCTTCTGATAATAGAAGAATGCTTTATTCAGATGCTATAACCATATCTCAAATTCTGGAGGGCATGACAGTCACCTGGGCTCTGTTACCAGAGATTACAATTCAGTAGGTCTGCCGTGGACCCAGGAATCCACATTTAAGAGGCTCCCCTAGATGACTCGCCTGCAAGAAACTACCCATCATTCAACCACTGTTTAATGAGCACCTACTCTGTACCAGCCACTGCGCTAGGTGCCATGGATTAATCAGCAAACACAATAGCTGCCACCCCAGCGACACCCTTCTATTCACGATCAGGGCATAGTGAATTTTTGTTGAAAGAGTGAGGGAGCTAGGACATGGGTCTTGATAATCACTGAGGTTTCCTGCCAGCCACCCACAGCTCTGTGATTCTATGAGCCAGGCCAGGGAGTCAGAAACACACCTCTTTCCCAGTTTCTGTCCAGGAGGCAGAAACTCGAGCCAACAGGAACTAAAAAGGCACCTACTTTGTATTGTTAATTCTGACAGCCATCCCCACCTTTCACTGAACACAGAACTTTAGAACTTCCACGGGGCAGTGGAGAGCATGTTATCCCCCTGCTCCATGGTACAGGTAGGAGAACGTGCCAAGGCCACACAGCCCTTCAGTGCCAGAGCCGGGCCTGGAAGCCGGGGCTGCGGACCATGTGTGTCGTACCCGGGTGGCTTCTCCTCAGGGCTTGGAAAGACCTCATCCAGATGGTGTCATTCTTGGGTGTCAGAGTTGGGGGTGGGGGTCTTTGGCACTTGAAAATCCATCATAAGCAAGGCATTTCCGGTGTTAGTCAATGCCCTCTTCTTCCTGGAGGGGTTAGCCCATGAACTCGCCAGTACATTTGGGAGCTACATTTAGCAGACTTCTCTTTCATATGTTACAACCATTAAAGAGCTTCCAGGTCAGCCAGTGAGGGGCATTAAACAGCCAAGGTATTGTCAGCTGCTGCTGTCGCTGTCGTGTGCGAGGGCTGGCTTTCATTCACCCTCCTCAGTCTCATAAATGACTGTGCACAGAGCATGGGAACGATGGATCAGGGGAGGGATAGAAACCTGCTTCCTCTCCATCTGCCCACAGAGCCGAAAGATCCTTACGCCCATTTGATAGATGTTGAAACAAAGGCTCATAGATGTAAGGGTTACTTTGTTTTGTTTTGTTTTTACAGAGATATACATTCTACCAGCTTGTTATATGTATCTGAGAACAGCAACATTTAAAGAGACAGCCACCCAACACGAAAGGGTACCATCTAAATTTAGTATCCCTACAAATAAGGCAAGCAGATGGCAAGACCCAAGGACCTGTTCTTTACACTCTGCCACTTACTGGCTTTGGGACCTTATGAAAATGACTCCTTGGCAAGGATCATCCTATCTATTCTGCCCGACCTAGAATTTTGTGTGGATCAAATTCACTCACAAAAGACTGAGTGTTACATTCATTTTCCTAAGTCATCAATAATAGTCCTTCTGGGAATTTATCTTAGGGGTCTGATTCAAAAGATGGGAACACTACAGCATGATGGTTACATATACTTTGATTCAACAAATATTTTTAGAAG